ACAAACCTACTCTTACAATGCCACTATACTACCTACTAGGGGAAAAAAGTATACATTTAAAATAGATAAGTCTATGATGTATACTAGAAAATAACAATGATTTTCTAAATTGCTCATAAGTATCTGTTTAAGTTATATATGGCACCCTATTCTTACACATGGCGGGGGGGCAGGGATAAGCAATTTTCCATTTATGCGTATAGGAGCTTCAAAAAACAAACTCTGAAACAGATCATTCAAGCATAAAGATAGAGCATAAAATGAAGCAAAATAAGCTAAATCACACAAATATACTAAAAAGTTTTAAACGATTTTATTTTTATTTATTTTTAGAGGGAGGGGAAAGAAGGGAGAGAGGGAGAGAAACATTGATGCACAGGACTGACTGCCTCTCACACAATCCCAACCGGGGACCTGGCCTGCAACCCAGGCATGAACCCTGACCAGGAATCAAACCGGTGACCTTTCAGTTTGCAGGATGACACCCAATCCACTGAACCACACCAGTCAGGGCAAATATACTTACCCATACCATATTTTTTGGACCATTAAGATGCACGTAGGTTTTAGAGGAGGAAAATAGGGGAAAAAAAACTTGAAGCAAAAATTGTGGTAAAATATTTAATAACATAAATAACATAACATTTCACCAATATAAATACAAACAGAACTCAACAGCAGCATTAATAAGCATTATTCCTCCCAAATTTGGGGAGGAAAGTGCGTCTTACAGTCCAAAAAATATGGTAAAACTTAGTCACCCAAAAATAATTTTCCACACTAAAGTCAATATAATTTTGGTTATAAGCAAGAAGTATGTCAACAAATACTTAAATGCCTAGCATTTAAAAGATATAAACACAAGACATAAACACACAAAAATCCCACTAAGTTCTCATAAAAGTTACACTGGTAACTGGCACTGGCATTACAGACAGACATTCAGACCAATGGAATAGAACTGGGACCAGAAATAAACCCTAACATTTATGTGTCAGCTTGGGCTGTCATAACAAAATGTCACAGACTAGTGGCTTATACAACAGAAATTTATTACTCACAATTTTGAAGGCTGAAAGTCCAAGATCAAGGTGACACAAGGTTCTAGTGAGAACTCTCTTCATGGATTGTAGTTGGTCTCCTTGCTATGTCCTCAAGCAGCAGAGACAGAGCAAGCTCTCTGATATCTCTTCTTATAAGGGCACAATTCCCATCATGAGGGTCCCACCCTCATGACCTCATCTAAACCTAATTACCTCCCAAAGGCACAGTATAGTCTCTGAGTATCATCACATTGGAGGTTATGACTTTAACATATAAAGTTTGGAGTGAAACAATTCAGTCCATAGCAATGGGTAACTGATTTCCAACAATGACGTACAGGCAATCCAATGGGGAAAGAACAGTTCCTTCAAAAATGGTGCTGGAACAACTAGATATCACACACAAAAGAATAAAGTCGGATACCTTCTTTAGACTATATAAAAAATTAACTCATAATGGATTATAATCCTAAATGTAAGAGCTACGAGCATAAAACCACGGACATGTTGCCTTCTCTAGGCACCGAACGCTGTTGCTTGAGGGTGGTTTAGATCTCATACCCCAGAAACTGGTCCTTTTCTGGCTACCATATGATTCCATAAACCAGAAAGAAGGAAAGAAAGAAAAGAAGAACATAAAACCACAAAATTTTTAAAAGAAAATGTAAGAATAAATTTTTATGATCCTGGATTAGTGTTTCTTATCTACTGTATATACCATAAGCACACGTGACAAAATAATTAAATTAGGCTACATTAAAATCTAAAACTTTTGTGCTGAAAATAATATTATCAAGATAACCAAAAGACAGAGAAACATTTGTAAATCATAGGTCTGATAAGAGTCTACATATATAAAGAACTTATAACTTAATAAAGACAATCCAACTGAAAACTAGACAAAGGATGTGAACAGACAGTTGTCCAAAGAATATACACGAATGGCAAATAGGAACATGAAAATCAGCCATTAGGGAAATACAAATAAAAACCACAATGAGATACTACTTCATATTCACTAGGATGACTATTATTTTTTTAAAAGGCAGAAGATAATAACTAGTGTTATGGGGATATAATGAAACTAAAACCCTTATACACTGCTGATAGGAATTTAAAATGGTATAGCCTCTTTAGAAAAAGAGTATGGCAGTTCCTCCAAAAGTTAAATATAGAGTTACTATATGACCCAGCAATTCCACTCTTAGGTATAATATATCCAAGATATATAAAAACACAGGTTCACACAAAAATTTGCATCTGAATGTTCACAGCATCATGAATTATACAGCCCAAAAGTAGAAACAACATAAATGTCCATTAACTGATAAATTAATAAACAAAAAGTGGTAGAGCCATATAATGAAATATTATTTGGCAATAAAAAAAATGAAGTACTGATACATGCAACAACATGGACAAACCTTGAAAACATAATGCTTAGTAAAATGCCAGTCACGAAAGACCACAAACTGTATGATTCCATTTATGTGAGAAGTCCAGGAGAGGCAAACTCACCTACACAGATAATAGATCCATAACACCTAGGGCATGGGGTTGAGGGAATGGAGAGTGATAGATAATGGGTAGAAGGTTTCTTTCTGGGGTATTAAAAATGTTCTAAAATTAAATTATAATCATGGATACGCAACTGCAGAAAAACTAAAGCCATTGAATTGTACACATTAAATGGGTGAATTGAATTTATGATATGTGAATTTTTTTTCAATAAAGATGTTTTTGAAGTATCTTTCTAATTGATAGATAGGATGCTGCCCAATTCATGAATTACTTCATAAAGCCAATTAGATCTTCAAAAAATAATAGTAAAGATTTTTTAAAATTTGTAACTGATGAATTTGTAGCACTATACAATGGCATAATTGCCAGTATTGGCCCCGAAACTTAGTTCTTCATTTATTTATGTGGGGGGCTCAGAACAAGCCCCCCCAAGATTTGAACTAAGGGCAATTTTAACTTTAGGCTCAAGAGAAACTTCTGCCTCTCCCTTTAGCTACCTAGAAGAACTTAAATTAATTGAGGACTTGCCCATAAAAAATATTATCATCAAAAAAATTTTGACCCACCTATATGGCAGTGCAAACTTCAATTCAATAAATATCTGCTTTTCTTATAACCCTGTAATGACCCTTCGAGGCGATCAAGATGCATTACCTCATCCCTAGCTCAGAATGTCTTATCTACTGCAACCCCTCCTTTTTATCTCTGGACCTCTCATGTATGTGGGGTCTCTGACTCTCTCATGTACGTTGGGTTCCCATGTACGTGAAAGTAAATTTATTTTCTCTTGCCAATCTATCTTCTGCTGATTTGATTATCTGGCCAGCCAAAAGAACCAGAGGAGGGAAAGGGAAAATCTTCCCCTTCCTCAACCTTATAATTAATCACCCCCTAAATCAAAAATCACTAACCAGCCCTGGCTCATGTGGCTCTGTGGATTGAGTAATGGCCTGAGAACCAAAATGTTACTGGTTCAATTCCCAGTCAGGGCACATGCCTAGGTTGTGGGCCATGTCCCCAGTTGCAGGGGTATAAAAGGCAACCAATCAATGTATCTCTTGCACATAGATGTTTCTCTCTCTCTCTTTCTCCCTCCCTTCCCCTCCCTCTAAAAATAAAATCTTTAAGAAAAAATCGCTAACCAGTTTACACCTAGCCCTTCACACAGGGCCTCACCCAAAACAGGGCACAATAAATATCTACTGAGTAAGTGTATGTGAGAGATGGTAGAACAGAAAACCACTAAAGTATTATCAGAATGATACTAACTTCAATGTATTAGAGAAAGGGAAGAAATTATGGGATAGCAATATTTAAATTACCAAAATGAAATACAAATAAACACCTCAAAATTTACTAACCTAAAAAAACTTAGTTAACAATTTTTATGGTGCTTATTACATGGCAGGCATTTACAACTGAGGAAAGTCCAGGCACACAGGGGTTAAGTTTGAGGCACACAGCTACCAAATGGCAGACAGGGGAATTTGAACCTAGGCATTCTACAGTTCTTAAACACTAAGTTATTTAAGGCCTCTCTAAAATAACTTAAATAGGTTTTTAAAAAAGAGATAATTTTGAGGAAGTACACTAGAAAGTACTTCCCTCCTGAATACATTAGCAAATACTAGTGTCAAATAATTACACATTTATGCAGATAGCAGCAAAACATTAAAAGAGAATTCTACTCAATTAGAAACAAGAATTAACATAAATTAGTTTATCCCATTATTTAGTCAATGACAATTCTCTAACTTCACGAAATACAAGTTCAATGGAAGTTATTTTCAAAAACTTTGACCACACACAAGCCATGAGAATGAAAAGTTATGATCTCATATTTTTATAAATATACGTATTTACTTAATGCTTTATTAGTATCAACAATATAGAATTCGGTACAGCAACGGTTCTCAACAGGGGGCAATTTTACATGCCTCCTCCCTTCCCACTTCCACCCAGGGGTCTTCTGGCAAGGTCTGGATTCATTTTGGTGGTCACAACCTGGGGGTGAAGGGCTCTAGGAAGGATAGGGAGGGGAAGTGCTACTGGTATCTAATGGCTAAAGGCCAGGGATGCTGCTAAACATCCTAAAAGGCTCAGCACTGCCCTTACGACAAATTATCTAACCCCAATGTCAATAGTGCCACTGTTAAGAAATTCTGGCATACAGTAATTCATTCAGATTTACCAAAAGCACATTTTCATTTCTTCTGTCTCAGGCTCAATCTCAAATTAGTACTTAGCTTCTCCCAATACTAAGTCTCTAATACTTAGTATCTACTAAAACCAATTTAAGATCATTTGAATTTAAATGAATGAATTTTTCTTAGAAGTTTATAAAACATATAAAAATACATGAAATAAAAACATACATGTTTTTAAAATTACATATTAGACTTATATCTAAAAGAAAAAGACAGATAAAGCACTTACTGTAAAAACGTTCTAAATTCTGAAGCTTCAAAGTTCTCCACAGCAATAGGTTCATAATCTGTTAAATTATTTGATGTCTGTCCAATACTATGAAAATAGAAGTTAGGAACTCTTGCTAAAAGGACAGCTCTGTGCGCTTTGAATAAAGTACAACCTACGGAAAAAGTAACATCTGTATGGACTTCTTCCCTTAGAAGCCTGTCAGGAATAAAAAGAAACCCTAGTTTAATTAATGACTCTTATAAGTACATATTATACCCATTTTTATAAAATAAGTTTTAAAAATAATACCAACTAAAAAGTAGATAACATAAAATAAATGTTAACAAAAAATGAGTTAGTTTGTTCTCAGTTCATTCCAAAGAACAATATTTAATATTGGCTTAGAATCTAATTTTCTAAAAGTTATGAAAACAAAAGTAATTTCAATTGAAGAGTAAGACTACTTTTTAAAAAAAAATCTTTTTTATTCCATCCCATAATTAAATTTATCTTCCACTATTTGCTGACTTTCTATTTGAGGTTTATTTTGAAAAAATAATACAAAATAGTTATCTAGTGGTTAAAGGAATAGTTGACTACTGTGCAGAATCAATTTTTTTAAATCTTACTAAAATTGAAGCAGAAAAAGTAAACAGTCAACAACACCAACAACCCAGATGTAACAATAGACAATACAGATTAGAAACTGGTACACTTTGTTCTAACTATTGTTAAATACCAAGTCTGAAATGCAGGCTTGGCATCAAGAATGTGACATTTAAGCACTTTTCCATTCCCCTCACTCCAAACACAACTAACCATGTTCTAATCTATTATTAAAATGATTTGAAATCCATTGAAATCCCTTTACTAATGTTCAGACACTGTACATATGCCCACTGATTACATATATAATCAAGTGATGAAAGAACAAAAATCAGTATAACAGAAATTGTCATAATCTGTCTCTATGGTTAACTATATATATTTTCTATATATATTAAATACTTCATATTACTATAACATTATCATCAGCAAGGTATGTATTCTCAGAAGACTTGTATATTGCAGGATATAACTGGCAATCACACCATTCACTCTAGGAGGTACAAGTAATGGATAAAGCTATCCATTACAATGAAAGCTTAAAATGCTGCCATTGACACACTCCCCTAAGACCAAGTTAATGGCTCTTTCCTCTGATCTCATCACACTCATTACATTCCTCTACTACAGTACTTCTGTCAGTGCATCATCATTTTTATGTGTCTCTCTCCCTACTAAATGATGAACTCTCCAAAGGCAAAAACTGTGTATCTTCAGTATATATCAAGAGCTCAATATCTGCTTGTTAAATTTCATTATATTTTTTTTACTGAACAAAACAAATGCTTTAGAGCAAAGCTCTTAGAATCTTGGAAACAATGTACAAGCAGATGCATTTTAGTCAATATTTGCATCAATAAATTATTTTCATAAGTGATTTTTAAAGTTATGCAAAAATGTACTGGTCTTTCAAACATTAATAAAAACTCAAATTGTACAAATAATTTGTTCTTCCCTTCCACTCACCTTCTTCCCATCCCCCACTCTCTTCCCAATAAGGAAAATTGCAGCTGGTCTGTCTTGCTCATAATAGATGCTCATGAGTATTTGTTTAAAAAAAGTGTTAATGTGTTTAAAAATGGTTAATATGAAAATATAGTGCTTTTGTTTTATAAAACCACTTGTACCAATTACAAGTAACAATATCTGATTCAGACCTCTTAAACATTAAAGGAAGTTTCCTGGCTCATCTAAGAAAGGACAGGTTGGCACAAAGGCTTAATGATGTCAAGGCCCAGCTTTTATCCACATCATTTCTCCGCCAACAGCTACTGTATGAGCCTATCTAAAGCATTTTAGACTGCCGATTAAACCTAGTTATCACTAAAAATTTATAGAGCAAGTACTAAGCACTAGGGAGGTAGATGCCTAAGACATAATATCAGCCCTCATGGAGTGTACAGAATAAAAGTAGGGAGGCCAGGCCTGAAAATTGAAGAGCATGATATATTCAATAGCACAAATAAGTAAATTTTTTCAGAGACAGACATAAGAGAAGATCTTATAAAGGACATGAAAATCAAATGGGATTTTATTTTAAGATTGAATAAGAGTTGGTTGGTCAGGCAAGGAAAGCAAGATAGCAAGGTGTTCCAGACTCCGTATTTGTTGCAATGGTATATGTGAGGGTGGAACTACAAATGGGTCAGCAGAGTACTGAGGAGATGAGAACTGGAAGATGTAGGGATAATGAATAAAAGGCAAAGAGCTAAACTCTATTTTGCATTTGAAGAGGAATCACCGAATGGTTTGAAACACAAATTTATTTTTCAAAGTATGGCCTGTTAGTTGTGTAGAAGAGGAATTAGGGGACAATTGAGAATGAAAATTAGAAAACAACTATATAGCACAGATGAATGATGTAAATTAAAGGACATGACCCAAGAGAAGGTGAATAGTGACAGGGAATAGGGATGAAATTAAAATATATTTAGGCAATAAAACGGGCAATAGTTGGTGACTGGATGTAAAAGGTGAAAAGAAAGGAATATTTAGGATCTCTCCAATATTTAGTTTGGACAACTGGGTGCTGGTGATGCCACCAGCTTTTAAATCTATCTGCTCTTCCAAATACCCTCCTAAACTCTGGACATAGTTCCAATTGTCTCTTTGATGTGGCTTCCTGAACATTCACCATGCTCCTCTTCCCTTTCAAATATCCTAAGATTTGGCACCACCTTCTATGCTTTCCTTTCTTCTCTTTCCACATGTAATTGATCACCAAGCTCATCAGGTGCACATAAGAATCCCTTTCTCCTTTTCCATTCCCATCACCATTATGTATCTCTTGACTATTACAAAATCTCCTGGCTGGTTCCCTTGTTTACAATTTCTCTTTCCCCAATTCAAGACCTAAATATGTTGATCCTCTATTTAAAAAAACAAACAAACAAAAAAAAACACCCTAATAGGTACACCTGAAACTAATATAATACCAAGTGTCAAAAAAAACCCCACCAATGGCTTTTCACTGCCTCCAAAATACCTTCCAAACTCTTCACTGAAAAAAGGCCTCTATGATGTACTGTTAGCTTACCCATTCATCCTCACTACTGTCACTTTGACTGTCTACCATACCCACAATCCCCTCCCAAATTCACTTATTACTTATCTATGGCCCTTCTTTGTACCACATGACCTTGATGTTCTTAACCACATATGAGTGGGCAATAGACAGGGTCAAGGTTAGCCATCAGCCAATGTAAGAATTAAACAAGTAAACTCTGGCAGAAATGTTCTATAGTAAATAGCAACCAACTGATTGCACTCAAAGAATTGCAAAGCTAACCCAAGGTAGAGTAAGAAAAAGAAATGTGTATGAAGAGAAGAGAAGATGAAGGAACAAAGTAACCAGAAGATAAGTTTATGTAACAACTGTAGAGAAGGCAGGCTGGGATCAAATTCTGGTCACGTGACCATGTTGTTTAAGTCACTTTAACGTCTCCGGAACCAGATGTTAGCATTCTTACTCTGACTGCCCCACTACTTCTCCACTGCTGTTTCCTTATATGTTAAATGGGAATAACAACAACACTTACCTCATAGGGGAGTAAGTAGACCATTGCATGTCAGCCCAGGGTCTAGTAGGATGGCAATAAGTATTAGGTATTTTTACTACAGTTGCCCTGAATAATGGTTCATTTCTCAGTGAGGTCTTCCTGTACAGGTGCTGCCATATTCCCAGCAACTTTCCAATTCTATGTCAGATCTGGCTTTTTTTTATTTTGAAATTGCTTCCTGTTTTTCCTTACTTCTCCATATATCCTATTACCTCAGGTAACTTAGAGGTGTCTCTGGTCCCTACTGTTTGGAACAAAGAATCCAACACAACTTGCTTTCCCAAATTATATCAAGCTCTTTCAAATTTCAGTGCCTTTGTAAAAGCCATTCCCCTTGTTTAGACCCCTCTGACTTCTCCCTTCCTAACCTCTCTACCTAACCAATTTTAATCAACCCCAAGAGAAAATTCGAATGTGACCCAGTAAAGCCTTCCACAACCCACTGGGACCCAGAGTTTTAGTTTGGTTATAATCTCTCTCACTACAGTGTAAGCACAAACATCAAAGCGTGTCTTATTAATCTTTGATTCTTCAGGACCTCATTCAGAGCTAGGTATATGGTAGGTACTAGCTATTTCATTAATACTTGTAGAATAAAATGATGATATTGCTGTGCTTAAAGACTACTAGTATTTAAGGTGGCTGGGTGAGCGTATTACATTTTTTTTGAAGTTAAAAAGTGCTACACCTATTGTTCTTGTAATAAGAACTTGGGAGTTCAGGGTCCTAATCCTTAGTTGCCTGGATGAAGATAAATTGCCCACCTACTAAACTTTTAGCCTCATTTTGTTTACATAAATGAGATGTATTATCTTCCTTTTAAATCCAGGACACTCACAATACAGCCAGAAGAATAAACCCACTGAAGAGGAGCACTTCATCCTGAGATTCACCCTAGAAACAGAACAACTTGTCTCCTTTTTTCCATCTTTTACATTAAACCACCACTGGTGGAGATAAAAGAGCCTCTCTAGTAGGCCCAAATTAAAAGGAAATATTTTTACCTTATTAAGTTCCGTTTATAGCTGCTTGACCAACTGAGTCAGACTTATGGTCTGGGACCCAGGATATCTAAATTTTAACAAGCCCTCCAGGCGATTCTGATGCACACCACAGTTCAAGAATCAATGTTTGGGTGAAAATGGAAATACTTCTTGGGTGAAGCTAGGAAATACTTCTAAGCTTCATTTTCTTTATAAACTGAGATGACTTTAGCTGGATTCACCATAGCCTCGGGTAAACTTCACAACAATCCTCCATCTGCTTGCATCTTCACTGAGCTGGGAGTTGCTGGAGCTCCAGGGCGTTCTAGCTGCAGGTGGGAAGGCAACTCGCAATTGGAGGTATTTCTATGTAAGCATTTCTGGTAAATTATTTAAAGAGTTGAGAAGAGACCTCCAGAGCTCCAGTAATGTTTATGTTTTTCCTCATTCCAAATAAATATTCATTTTTTCTGCCTAGTTTTATCATTTTTCTTAACATTGCTTAAGCTTATAAAAACTTATGTTCGTTTCAGGACCTCGAAACCTGGAGGCAGCTGACCTTAGGGTTAAGTCTCTGACGATCCAAACCGAGTTAAGAGTAATTTGGCATAGACTGGTGCTGCCCGTAAATACCTATGGCACTGATTTTGTTTTTCTTTTTGAACCTAGTGCGTGCTCTCTGAGGTAGTAGGGGTTGGTTGTTCAGGGAGACAGAACCCACTTCACAGGGGGTACTGGCGAACCTCCCGCAGCGGCCTGGGGCGAGGAAACCGCGGTGGCGAAGGAGAGAGAGACGGAGAAGGAGCCGCGGCTTCAGAGGCGGAGGTGGGCGCCTCAGGAACTCAGCCAGAGTTCCCGCCTCCTCCTACCTGAGCAGATCCTGGCTGAGCTGCTCCGCCACCAACGCCTTCAGCCGGCGCCGCTCGCACTGCCCCTTCCTTTGCAACCCCTTACTGCCATCTCCAGGGGACCCCCAAAGTACCGCCGTGGCCGCGCTGCCCGCCCCACAGCGGGCCATGTGCCACCACAGCTCGGTGACGCCCGCGGGTTCCGCACAATCCCACTGCGCGCCTTAAAAAGAAATGGGCGTCTCCGACGGAACGCTCGGCCCCTGCGCCGGAATCCGCCCCCTAAGGGAAAAGGTTGACGCCTCCTGTCAACCTCCGTAGACCGCCCCCTGCGACGCCGAACTACTGTCCGGGAAAACCCGAGGCCCGGGCTGCGACGACGACACGTGACCCAGGACGGTTGTGCGCAGGCGTAGTAACTCTGTTTACAACGCGAGCCAGTGCCTCGCCCCTCCGTGCGCCTGGGGCAAACGGTCTCCGTGGGAGTAAACTATCCCTGGAGTTCCTTGGTGCCCTTGATCGTTGCTTTTGCGGGGTGCATCCATTTTAATAGGTGTTTTATTGAGAGCCAACTTTGTGCACCATGTGGGATGTCAGTGCTTTTTTCCCCCATTAAGAGATGGGTTCACAAGATCTGTCGAGCGGCGAGTCGCATTCCCTTAGTTACTGGCTTTGGGCAAGAAAAATTGGGGGAAGAACATAAGATCAGCAGAAGTCAGAACACTCCTGACTCCCATGAAAAGGCTGTATACCGCATCTGCAGTGGTGCAGTTATACACAAGACCTTTCCAGCAGCGAGTAGGGAAGTGGGAGGTTTGATGAGTTAAGAGAATTTTGAATATTTTGGCCTGAAGAAAATAGCTGGAGTGGAATAATTTAAAAGGTCTTTTGGTTTTTTCTTTAAAATTTTTTAATACTTCCTCCAAAGGAAGAAAGCTCATTCATTCTGTTTCCTGCAGAAGCTCCTTACAAGGTAACAAATGAAATACTAGTTGCTTGGAAGACATATGGACCTTGTACCATAAGATTGGTGAAGAAATTTCCATTTCTTCAAATGGCTACTTCTTCACCAATCTTATTCAGATACCTTAATTAAAATGTAACTGGATAGTTGATTCTTAATTATTGGTATAGGAAAGAGGAGTGTCAGAGGTAATAGTTAATACTTATCAAATGCTTATTAGGTGAGAAAACTGTTCTAGCTGTTTTGTATGTATTAATCAATCTTTACAACCACCATTTAGGGAGACACTTTTGAGCCGAAATTACACAAAAGTATGCACATTTAGATGATAAAAATGTAAAAAAACACAGAAAGTGAAAATATAAAAGTCAGGGGGGAGGTAGAAAAGGTTATAGGGGGTTAAATGGTGATAGAAAGAGACTTGGAGTGACACAATATACAGATGATGTATTTTAGAATTATACACCTTAAACCTATATAATTTTATTAAACAATGTCACCCCCAATAAATTCAATAAAAAATAAAGAATATGTTAAAAAAAGAAAATATAAGTCAGAGAAGTAGTTTAATTTTGGGAAGGAGGAGAAGGTTGTAATTATGAGAGGGAGTGGAAAATTTTTACATCTTGACCCAAGTGTTAGTTGCAAGAGTGTTCATCTTAATAAATATTATATTTATTATATTTTATACTTATATATAATAATTATTAGGTACACATTTGTTTGATCTGGTTTTATCTGTATTTGATTTACATTAACAAGGGTTTTAAGTGTTATGGGTTGAAGGATTAAATAAAGTTATGTCAAACATTTTGAGGTTAAAATCTAGAATATAATAGACCTGGCTCATGTGGCTCAGTAGATTGAGTCCTGGCCTACAAGCCAAAAGATTGCCTGTTCAATTCCAAGTCTGGGCACATACCTGGGTTGTGGTCCAGGTCCCCAGCTGGGGGTTGTGTGAGCGGCAACCTGTCTACATCTCTTGCACATCGGTGTTTTTCTCCCTTTCTTCCTCTTTCCTCTCCCTCTAAAAATAAATAAATAAAATCTTTAAAATATAATGAATGCCTTGGAATTCGGCTTTCAGTCAGATGGAGGTGGCTTTTCTGAGTGTCATACTAATCTGAAGTGGCTTCAGGGGTTATCTTTAGGAGTCAGCAACATGGCATAATATATCAAGACCAAAATCAGGAACTACCAGAGGCTTTGACAGCCTCTTCCACAGTCAGAACCATACCAGGAACTGTTGGCAGAACTACCTGGACTTCCACCTCTGTCAGAAGACAGTGTCCCTAAAGGGCGGGATGTCTTAGTGTGCAAGTCCCTCTGCCCCATATCCTGGGTGTTGGACTGGGATGACTGCCAGGCAGAAGGCAGTTTCCTGGGAAGATCTGAACTGGCTACATCCCACCTCTCCTCTGGGGGACCAGGGTACATCCCACCCTGGAATCCTGAATCATGGCTTAACTAGTACTAAATACTTGTGGGAACAGTGAAAAATCGAAAATAAAAAACATCCCTGATTTTTTTGTATAGCTCATTTTCTAATTAGAAGCAATTTTAAAGTTAAGCAGATGTTTGAGTAATAGTGCCATTGTTATAGTACCAAAGATATATCCTGGCAAGTAATTTTAAGTAAAACTTTCTTATCTACATGACTATTTTTCAGTACATCTTAAAAATCATTGTATTTGAATTACATGTATATACATTACTATCATGGGAATAACAAGCTAGGTGGATGCTATAGAGTGAATATTTGTGTTCTCCCAAAATTCATATATGGAAACCTAAACCCCCAGGTGATAGTATGGAGTTGCTAAGAGGTAATCAAGTCATGGGAGTGGACCCCCCCATGAATGGGGGTCTAACCCCTAATAAAGGGGGTTAACCCTTATGAAAGACACTTCAGAAAGGTCTCTCCCCAATTTTACTAGGTGAGGACACAGTGGGAAGATAACCATCTATGCTCCATGAAGCAGGCTTTCACCAGACACCAAATCTGCCAATACATTGATCTTGAACATCCCAGCCTCCAGAACCGTGAGAAATGAATGTTTAATCTACCCCATCTATGATGATTTAGCTATGACAGCCCAAGTGGATTGACACAGTGAGGATTATGAAATATCTCTTATTCATATCATCTCTTCAGGTGAGAACTACATGAAAATGATCTGAAAACAATATTTGACTTTTTTCTTTCCCTTTCCTTAAGCTTTCTTTTTTAAAAATATATTTTATTGATTATGCTATTACAGTTGTCCCATTTTCTCCCTTCTCCTTCCTTCACCCTGCACATCCTCTCCCACATACATTTTCCCCCTTTAGTTCATGTCCATGTGTCATAAGTTCTTGGCTTCTACATTTCCCATACCATTCTTACTCTCCCCCTATTTTCTATCTACCATCTATGCTACTTATTCTCTGTACCTTTTTCCCCTCTCTGCTCCTCCCACTCCCCTGCTGATAACCCTTCATGTGATCTCCATTCTCTGGTTCTGTTCCTGTTCTAGTCGTTTGCTTAGTTTGCTTTAGTTTTAGGTGTAGTTGTTATTAACTGTGAGTTTGCTGTCTTTTTACTGTTCATATTTTTTATCTTCTTTTTCTTAGATAAGTTCCTTTAACATTTCATATAATAAGAGCTTGTTGATGATGAACTCCTTGAATTTTACCTTATCTGAGAAGCACTTTATCTGCCCTTCCATTCTAAATGAAAGCTTTGCTGGATAGAGCAATCTGGGATGTAGGTCTTTGGATTTCATGACTTGGAATACCTCTTTCCAGCCCCTTCTTGCCTGTAAGGCCTCTTTTGAGAAATCAGCTGACAGTCTGATGGGAACTTCTTTGTAGCTGACTGTCCCCTTATCTGCTTCTAGAATTCTCTCCTTCATTTTAATCTTGGCTAATGTAATGATGATGTGCCTTGGTGTGTTCTTTCTTGGGTCCGGCTTCTTTGGGACTCTCTGAACTTCCTGGACTTCCTGGAAGTCTGTTTCCTTTGCCAGCTTGGGGAAGTTCTCCTCTATTATTTGCTCAAATAGGTTTTCCACTTGTTTCTCTTCCTCTTCCCCTTCTGGTACCCCTATAATGCGGATGTTGGAGTGTTTAAAGATGTCCTGGAGGTTCCTGAGCCTCTCCTCATTTTTCTGAGTTCTTGTTTCTTCATTCTTTCCAGTTTGCTTGTTTCTTTCTTTCTTCTGGTCTACTCCATTGATTTGAGTCCCAGTTTCCTTCCCATCACTATTGGTTCCATGTAAATTTTTCTTTATTTCACTTCATGTAGCCTTCATTTCTTCATCTAATTTGTAACCAAATTCAACCAGTTCTGTGAGCATCCTGAGCACCAGTGTTTTGAACTGTGCATCTGATAGGTTGGCTATCTCTTCATTGCTTAGTCCTATTTGATCTGTTCTTTCGTTTGGGCCATTTTTTTTGTCTTGTCATGCCTGTTATGTAGTGAAGGGTGGTGCATTAGGTGTTCACCTGGGCAGGGTATCCCATGTCACTGGGTTGTGGACACAGTATGTAGGAGAGGGGTCCGAGAGGGATTAGGGGTGCTTGCTCCGCTCTCTGCAGGATTTCAGTCACTTCCCCCACTTCCTGCAAGCAAATTTGGCCATTCTGTTATTGATTCCTGTGTGGGTGGGTTTGTGTATGTCCTGGGACCCTGTGGGTTTCTCCACTGAACTCTCCTGTGAGGCTGGGAGTTCCTCCCAGCACCGCACCCCCCACAGGTGTTTGCAGTTGGTGTTTTGAGGCTTTATTTCCCCAGACTGGGACCCTGGGTTCTGTGGTCTGTTTTGTTCTCCAGTTTTTCCTGGTTTATCTGCATGCAAATGTGGGACTAGATGCACCGTGCCCCTCTACAATCCACCACCTCACTGGGTCTGCCAATTACTGCTTTGCACACCCAGGGTCCTCCAGCTCTTCTTCTGCGAGCTCTCTCTGTCCCAGCTGCCTGACTCCGCCCCTTTTACTGGTCTGGATAAATGTGTCTACTTTAACTCCTTGGTTGTTGGACTTTCATACAGTTCAGT